GTCCCTGTCCCCCAGCTCTGTCCCCCAGCTCTGTCCCTGTCCCCCAGCTCTGTCCCTGTCCCCCAGCTCTGTCCCCCAGCTCTGTCCCTGTCCCCCAGCTCCATCCTGCAGGGGAAGGGGAGGTTTGCTCGCTGATCCCCCCGGTGCCTCCTCCCTGGGCTGCTCCGAAATGCAGGAACGCCAGAAAGGGGACCCGAGTTGGGGCAAGGGGGGTTCGAGAAGGGCCTGGTTCGTGTGGGGAAATGACCTGGCAAGGCAGGGCAGGGCACCTCTGTCCACTTCTTGCTTCGAGGACTTGTAAACTGTTGGATTTGTTATGTTAAAAGCTAAAAGGAGCAGCCCTAGCCCACAAACCGACAACCAGACACCCCTCGAAAATTAACTTATTACAGTTATTTTAATAGTAGTCTCAGAAGATAATTTAATGGTGTAAATTAAGTTTTAATCAGCTGTTGTGCAGATTAAGTGCGCTTTTGGCCTTGTCAGAAATATTTTAATTTTTTAACAGCTTAAATTATCTAATAGGATATTCCTTGGTGCTTGTCAGCTGACAGAAGTTAGGAAGACAACATGAAGCCTGTTAGTTGAAGTCTATCTGATAGTAGACCATTAGATTTTCTGTTTCTTAACAGGATACTTCAGTTTCCTCTGACATGTCCCTCGAACAGTAGGTTTATTTAATATAATATTAAGCCAAACAAATATTAAGTTTTTCAAAGACACTGCCCTTGTGCTGGCTGGAATACTCTGCACGGAGTCCTCTATCCCCTCTGCCTTCCCCACTTGTATCAGAGCAGAACCTGGAGCCTGGGACAGAAGCTAGACCTGGGTGTACACATGGAATTTGTTTGGATAGTAGCAGCGCTCATCCAGAGCTCTTGGTTGTCCCCATATAACTCCTCAGACTATAAATAAATAAGAATTTTAAACTCATCAGTGTTTTAGTCCAGTGCTGGGAGGTCAACATCTTCCTTAGTGATTTATCGTACTTTCTGCAAAGATCCCAGTGCTTTGTTCAATTGTAAAGTGGTTTTTGCAGGGAAACTAAAAGGAACCCATTCACTTGAAGTAATTTTGATAGAGGCGTTATTCATATCGTGATGGTTTCTTGGGAAGGTGGGGATGGGCTGTGGTGTCAGATTAAAAAGGAATTCATACCTTTGTGTTTGCACAAAGCAGGCAGGCCAGCCTTAGATAGTCGTAGTGGCCAGAATAGATTGTTTAGCGCTTCAGAGGCTGGGAGTGATGAAATGCACTTGAATGTTGCAAAGTGCTCTGCAGTTGTTGAAAGAGATGGTTTCCTATTAACCAGGTTATTCAGGCAGACAGACACAGACTTCCTTGGCCCTTTAGTTTCTGTTGGTTCCTTTTCAGGCTTCCAATAGCAACAGCAAACCAAAGAGTCCTCTGGGTGTTTTGGTGGGAACATGGCTCTGAGGGCTGGGAAGGTTTCAGAAGCAGCAGAGACAGTGATGCCCGAGCTGCACAGCAGACACCAGTGTGTTTACAAGTCGGGGTTCCTGTTTCCCTGCTGAAGTCAGAGCAGTTGTTGTTTGTTTTTGTTTGGGAAAAGCTGCTGCAGCAGAGGTTACTCCATGTTATCTTTCCAGCTGGAGGAGTGCTGGTTACTACAGAGATTTCCTAAGAAGTGGTAGTGTTAAGCAATGTGCTGATGCTGACAGACAGTTTGGGAATGTTTCCATCTGTAAAGTGCAGAGAAGCAGCACCTGAGGATGTGTGTGTGGTCCAGGACCCGGAGCTGGTGCTGGGATTGTCTCACCCTGCTCCTAGTTTATGTTTCTGTGCATTCCCTACCTCGTTAACAGCTCAAGGAACACAGGAAATGCTTACAGGAATACCAGCACCTGATAACGTAATTAGGTGGAAATGGAATGAAAGATTAATAACATTAAAGCATTAGGAACGGTCTGTATTGTTCTGATGCTCAGTTTCCTTTGGCAGCCCTGAATGCAGAAGCTTGTTTTGTTCACAGTGTGGACAATGCAGTAATGAAGCATCGAAGGCAGAACCTGCTTTGCTGTTTCTGCTGTGCATGTCATGCTGGAGCATGTGGTGTGTTTTAGAAAATCAGTATCATTTCAAACACACAGCAAAATGTGTCAGGCTGGTTATAAGCTGTGATTGCTCTAACCAGGCAGCTCCATCATCTTTGTGATCTTGGTGAAGTCAGTGATACTTCACTGGAAGATCTTTGTTCTGCAGGACGTCCTTTCACATTCAGCATTGAACTGATGAAGTTCAATGGACTGATGGACTGATGAAGTAAGTCTTAATTAAGATTCTTGGCATGTTTATCAACTGTGCTAGTGGGTGCTGAGAGTTTATTTCAAATGCAGGTCATTGATACTTTGGGGGTGGATTCTGTAGAGATAGAAAGCTGGCAGCAGGAGAAAAATGGCAATTGGATTCTGATATGTGTGATCTCTGCATGTTTTTTAAACAAAATTCTCATTATGGAAGTAAATCATTTTTTTTCAGCTGTTAACAGAGTGTGCATTACAAATCTCCACATATCACCGTGTTTGACCTGTTGAAAATACTTGGCTATGGTGTTTTGTTTCCAGGGGGTTTCTGTCCTGTTCACTAAGGAGAGATTTAGGCTTTGTTTCAGGATTTTTGCAAGAGGCTTGTGCAGTGGACACTGCTTTAACATCTCTGGAACTGTTCTGCACTGATGCAGCAAAAAAACCCTGACTCACAGTGTGAAGGCTTGGAGGTTTTGTCTTGATTGCAGCTCACAATTTTCCCAAATCAAATATATCGTCCTTCATATCCCTGAATGTTTCAGGGTCTATGGCTGTTTGTGTAGCTGAGGTTGTTTCTCCTTTTTTCCAAGATGTAGGCATTTGGAACATCCTAGGAATACAAAGTGTTTCTTTTGTGCACAGTGTGTTGTTTTTCAGGGGATGATATGTGGAATTCCCATGCAAAGGAAAATCCTCTCATCTGAAAAAGCTGCCCAATGCATCAAAGTCCTTGCTTGAACTATCTGCAGTATATTTATATTTATATTTATATTTATATTTATATTTACATTTACATTTACATTTACATTTACATTTACATTTATATTGTGTGTCCACCCTGGTGACATTCTGAGAATTGCTGTTTGAAATGTTCCAGTGGCAACATAAACTGTGAGCTGTTAAAACTGGTGTTGCAGATACTAACTCGTCATGCTGGATGTCAGAGGATTACATCTACATTAGCAGAAGTACTTAAATATTAAAGCCTGCATAAATTAACTGGATTATCACTAAAAGGCTGAAAGGCAAGGAATGGACTGGGAAGGCAAGAAGACAGCTGAGGTGGGAGAGAATATGCCAGAGAAGGTAAAAATTGTGGAGCAAGGAGTCACTAGACTGAGCAGCTGGTAGTTCAGAAACAGAAAATAAAGTTTCAGTGCTCTGAATTTATGAATTATTACTGTCAAAGTTATTATTTTAATGTGCAATAAGTGGGGACTGAAGACTGAATACACAGTTGTGGAGCATTGGTAGATAAATGAATTGGGAATTAAGAAAATCAAATTACCTTCATGAAGGTCCCCCGGACTTGCAGTTGCTGTGTTGATTAGTCAGGAGTTAATTGCACATCTGTGTCTCTGTATTGGATAGACACAGTTGGAAAGGCAGCAGTGGGGGGGACCCTGAGAACACTTTCTGTTCCAGTTAATGTCTGAGCTGTGGGAAAGGAAAGGTTCTGCTGGAGAGGCCATTCCTGATGGGCCTCCTCCCCTTGAAATGTCATTTCAGAGAAATGTGAGCAATGTGAGATGCATCTGACAAAAGAGAGAAGGATGAGCTGAAACCATTTCCCCCTGAGCTGTATGGACCCACAGAGGGCTCAGCTCCAAGCCCTGTTCAGTACACAGAATAGTCAGGGGCCTGATAAGGTCTGTGAGCTCTGGTGTTTCACAGCCAAATGATACAATTTGTCATTTCAGCTGCTGTGGACCGAGTTCCATGATCAACTCGGTGCCTTCAGTCAACATTCAAAAGCATAAGTGCTTTCAAAGGGATGAAGGCAAAGTTCTTTCTTTCAGTGTCTGTCATTGTGGATGTGTGGATTGTCCCTAGTTCAGGTTTCTGTCCCTTTTAGCAAGGAAGAGGCATGAGCAAGGGCTCACTGAACAATGCTGTTAAATCATATTCCCGGTCTCCATGAAAGCAGTTGCTTCTGGTGGATGCATTTGCATTTGAAAAGCAGTTTGGGGTCGTACTTGGACAGAATCTTGCAGAATCTGAAAGCTGTGGTGAGGAAGTTGTGTTCCCTGGCCATGAGGTCTGGAGTGTTGTTTTGAGCCTCACAAAGAACCTTGATTTCTGTGGTTGCACAGCCTGGGTGGCCACGCTGTTAATGCAAGTGTGGGGACTTGGGGCTTTGGCAGAGAATGGTTTCTGTTTGTATAAAATATATTGGTTCAGCAGGCAAAATAAGCTGCATTCATGAGCTGGTGTGCATCTACAGCTTGGATCTTTTTGCTGTTCTTTTATTGCCCTTTCCCTTGTGTTTAAAAAAAGATTCTCTTAGGAAGGTAGTTATGTCTGGAAAGGGCTTTAGAAAATACCCACTAATACCTTTATTAATGTCCTTCTGTGGATCTGTGTTCCCAAATTAGCACATCCAATGTTCTTTACCAAGCAATGTGGGTCTTTATACACAAGAAAAAGGGTATGGTTATTTTTTAAAGTTCGTCTCCCTTTCATGGAAAACTACCAAAACTGCATTTTCACATGAACATCAAAGAGAGTCAAGTTGTTGACCCCTAGTGTTTTCTAAGGAAAATCATAAACACAGGTTTCTGAAGCAATCACGTGCTTTGGCACTTGTGCAAACAAAGAAAATATTTCCTAGTCAGTTCAGCTGTAGTAAATGCCTTTCCGAGAAATCCAGAATATTTAGTTAAGTCTTCCTAAATCCCAGTGTGTTTGAGTAATAAAATGTAGATACAGCAGCTTTTAGCCAGCCTCAGCATTATATTTAATCATGAATTTTGCCAGAAGGAACATTCAATTACCTAAGAGGAACAGCAGCAGAGAAAGAAAGTTTGACCAGTCACTTTCCAGATCACTGATAAAAATGAAAATTAGGACTCATACACTTTATATTCTTGGCCCAACATGCTATTTTTGAGGCTCAGTCTGACTGTATTAAGATAAATATATGCCTATTATAGGATCATGTGTGTATAGTATTTCATTTTTGTCCTTCCGTTATCAGGATGGGAGGCCTGTTCTTTAGGAGCCTTTCTGCCCTGTTGTTCTGTCTGCCAATGCTCCTTCTCATCCTTGCTGCTTCCTTCCCTCCTTCCCCCCTAAAAAAGTTAATATCCATTGTTTTTAAGAGTGCCTAGCTCAGTGTAGTTTTGATGTTTGATACTTCTGAAGACAGTTCTTTAATCATAAGTACTGAAATGGTGAAGAATTATATTATTTTTTTTCATTCTGTAGTGTCCTAATCCCCAGTGACTCGTTCTCATCTGGCAGCTTCCTGCTTCCCATAAGAAAAATCCATCCAAGGCTGTGTCTGTTTTCGGACAGACATGAAACATGGATGCCTTGGAAGTTTTTACAGGCACAACTCCCAAGTCGTGGCAGGACATGGGACCACTCAATGGTCCCATGACCCCGTGGTCAATCAGGGATGTTTTGTTAGCACTGGTATCACTTTTGTGTTTAGCAGTCTCCCCCAGGGCATGGGAACAGTCTGCCTTGCCTAGTGCCAAAGCTGCCTGTGTCCCAAAGGCTCGTCCACAGTGTGGAATAACTGGAGACGAGTCTGCAGACTGGATTGCTGGGCTGTGCTTCTGCACATCTGGGCTTGCCATGTTCTGACTTGTGTTTGAATTGCACTTTGCAGGTGTGGAGGAACAGTTGGAGCCATCTTTACCTGTCCCTTAGAGGTGATAAAGACGAGGCTTCAATCTTCAAAACTGGCCTTCAGGACTGTCTACTACCCCCAGGTGCAGCTGGGGACCATCAGTGGGGAAGGAATGGTCAGGCCAACGTCTGTATCCCCTGGGCTCTTCAGTGTTCTCAAGTGAGTGCTGCTCCCCTCTCAGTCACCATTCCTTGACACACTGATCAAGTTTCACTTCACTAAATTATAATGTTGTGTGGGGATCCTGGGGGCTTTTATCTTCTCAACTGTCACTGGCTTACTGAGCTCTCCTCTGCTATTAGGTGTTGTCTTTGCTGATTATTATTATTATTATTATTATTATGCATCAGTCCCATCTATACCTGTCTTAGTCTCTGTTAAAAGCCTTGAGCGCTTCAGACCGCAGTGTTTGATGCTCTAGCTGCTCTCTTTCAGATGTATGTTCATAAAGAGGAGGAAATGTGAAATTATCTAACAGTGCTCAGTAGTTCTAGCAGCAACTATGACAATCTCAGCTACTGTATTTTAATACAAAAGCACCATCGACTTTTGGTCAGACCTCCTTCAGAAGGATTGAGTTTGTGTGGCTGCTTGGGCACCCCAGGGTGATGCAGAGGTCCTGCTCAGATCAGGTGGCAGGAGTGCCAAGGAAAATACCGACCAGCAGTGCAAGCTGAATGATTTTATGTAAGGCCAGCACGCCTGGCAGACTGCCTGGGGAGAAGCTGCACAGTTATATAACACTGGAGTGCTAATTCAAATTCTCTGCAGAGCTCTCTGGCTGGAGTCATTCTGGGACTTGAGTTTCTGTATTGTAAACAGCCTGCTTTCCCCTGCCAAACATTTCTTTGTCTACTCAGAGGTGAGTCTAGAGCAATTCGTGACTGAATGCATAAGGCAGTGCCAGTTGCTTTGATTTTAATGCCCTTTCCTTTGCTATCTTTTCACCTTGCAGCACTGGACTTTAGGCAGTTGTGACTAAAGAAGGGGAAAACTTTTAAGGCAGAAAGATCTTAATTCATCCTCTGGGCCCATCTTTTTCTGGAGTTGTCTTTTATTTTTAAGGGAGCAAAGAAATGGTTTAAAATGGGTCAGCCTTTTTATATATTTATTAAGCTCATTAAGTTTGGTGACTGGGGTCTTGATTTCATTTCACTTCAGGAATTGCTTAGCTGTGTGTATTGCTAGGTTTTCAACCTGATTAGAGGATTGAGGAGTGAGAGCAAAGTATTTCTGCTGTCATTCTCTTGCAGGCAGCATCTGTGAGGAGCAGATAATGCTATTGATTATGACCCGAGAAAATACAAATGTAGGAAGAAAGAAGTGAAGTTCAGTCCCTTGCTTTTACTCTTTTATCCCTTTCTCAGTTCTGATCATTGCCAAGCTGGACACGACTTGGACCTCATGGCTTCAGAAAATTGTACAGCTAAGGAAGGAGCCACTAGAGCCCTACCAGTAAAATTGCTCTGTAAGAGTTAAAGGAGTTAAATGGAAGGCCTGAAGTGCTGTAAATGGAAAGAAAACAGGTACCCAGAGGGCAGGTTAAGCCTGCTGCTGATAGAAAGCGCTCCAGAAGGACAGGCTGGTTTTGTCTAATCCATTTAAGATTCTGATGAGTTAGCCCAGCTGGAAGCTGCAGTCGTGACTGTTAAGTGACAAAGAACAAGTAGTTGGGGGATCTGTCTCCTTGGAAACACTCAGCCCTGGAGTTTATACGGAAAGTTCAGCTCTGCTGCAGAAAACAAAAGTGTTTCAGAAGCTCATGTATCTCCTCCTGTGTAATGAGGTTGGGTTGAAATCTGTGGGAGCTCTCTCAGCAGTGCCAATGACCTAGAGAGCAAACTGTGAAAGCCTGGCAGTTGTGGTGGGTGCAGTGAGCTGCCCACAGAGCCCAGAGTCAGCCCGAGTTTCTCGCATGCTTTTCCCATGGCGAGCTCAGTTAAGAGAGCTGCTGTCTGGCCCACTGTGCACTCACATTGTTTGCAGTGTGATTGCCACATTCAGCTTTCTTGGGGGCAAAAGCACATCCCATGGTAACTGTGAAAGGAAAAAGGGTTTCTTTTTCCATCTCTCTGTGCAGGACTGTACAGGAAGCAAAAAAAAACTTCCGAATCGCTTAGATACAGAGAAAACTAAAAATATTCTTTGTTCATCAGAGTCAATTGTCACTGGATTCTCCATGAAACTAACTCAGTTCCTGACAGTTTTCAAAGAATGGAAATTATAACTTTTTGTGCCATTTGATACCCATTTGCCTGTAGAGCACTGAATTTTATGGTACAGTGGCTTTTACTCAGTGTATAATTCTACTTATTGAAGTATATCACATAGATTAAAATCTAACAGCTTCACAAGTCATACTCTGCTTTTGTGTAGTTTCTTTGGCTCTCTGCCTGACAGAACAAGAAACTAACTTTTAACCCAAATACTATCTTGTCCCTCCCTGTTTGTTTTTTATTTTAAGGTCAATCCTGGAAAAAGAAGGACCAAGGTCACTCTTCCGAGGGCTGGGTCCAAACTTGGTTGGAGTTGCACCATCAAGGTAAATAGTTAAACTATTGCTAAAAGCCATGTTTAAGGTGCCAACATAAATGTTACACTGCATTTGTGATTCAAAATAATAGGCCATGAAGTTATCCCATCTGTAAACTGAGATTTGTGCCTGTATTCTGTTCGGTGTACACATCAAGAAATACTGATAAAAATCTGGTTTACACTTCTATTACACTGGAAGGTGCAGAGTAAATAAAGCACTTCAATGCCAAGTATACTTAAGTACCACATAATTGCAAGAGCCACTGCTGTGCTTGAATTGGAAGAGAAAGCAGTGCAGAAAGGGCTGTGGGGTTAATAATTGCATTATTCTAATGTCCTGTTTCCTTTGAACACATAGCAGTGCCTGCCTAGCCGTGAGGTGCCAGGGGAGAGGAGTTGCTCTCTGAGCATTGCTTGCCTAAATTCTTCTCAAAGGAAAAAGTGCAGCTGAGGGGAAGGAGTCTCATTGCTGCCACACTCCCCAAACGGGCTGTGTGTCCCTCTTTCAGCAGCTAAAGTTTGCTTGCATTTGGAAATCTTACAGCACCTCAGTGGTCTCTCCCTGTGACTGTCCCCTTCTTGGCAGGGCCAAAGATCTGTCTAGGAAATGATAAAACTCATTAGCAGTTTGCATATTGGCAGATGCTCTCTGCCTGAAACTGAACCAGTTAGAAAGGAACCTGAAGAGAGGTGAACTCCCTCTCTGACCTCTTGCCTGGTAGGTGGGAGGTCCCCCCCAGCAGCAGGGAATCCTGGTTGTGTACAGGTAACCTTTGCAGCAGGACTCTGCTTTTCCATGCAACTCACTTGTGCTGTCTGCAACACCATGCTGCCTCCCATAGCAAAATATTCCTGCCCTGTGGCTGTCAAGTCAAGCTGTGGCACAGAACTGTAATGGAAGAAAGAAAACAAAAACCCCTGTGTCCATGCAGATGAAAGTGGTCATGTGGAGGCCTCTTCAGAGAGAGTTCTGTTCTTCAGGGGGCTGGGCATAGAACAGTAATTGTCTAATTTGATATTGTCTGTACTACATTGCTTTTCTTCTTTTTTCCCCCACAGAGCTGTCTATTTTGCTTGCTACTCCAAAGCCAAAGAGCAGTTTAACAGTATGTTTGTGCCCAACAGCAACATTGTGCACGTCTGTTCTGCAGGTTCTGCAGGTAAGTGTTTGTAGTTCCAAGAACAGAGGCCAGTGGGTGGCAGGTGCTGAAAATGTGCACTTAATCTGAGGTGGCATATGCCAAAAACCAGGACTTTGCTAGCTCCTAGCTGGCCTTGTCTGCAAGGAACTGTTTTTCTGTTCAGCACAGAAATATCTCTAGATTGTTGTTTACTAATTTAGGATGGTTTTTTTCCAACTGCAATGCTCTGGTCATGTCTCTTAATGCAAGGCAAAAATATTAGTAAACACCATTAAACTTCTGATACTGCTTTTGCCAAATTGTATCAGGATGTTGTATTTTTCCTACCAGGCTGGGAAAAATAGTTTGTTCTTGTAGGAAAAATACTGCAGAAGAGCTCTCCTAGTTCAATCTTCAGTCACCAGAGTGGTCATTAAAAATAACCGTTCCCAAAGTAAGTCCTTAATTAGGGGTGGGTTCTGTTAATGAGCGGCTCAATGGCACCACCTACAGCCCTGGGGAACCCAGGTCAAGTTTGGGTTCCCATGGGCTTCCTTTGAGCTGGAATTCCAAACCAGTCAGTAAGGAAGTGATCTTGTCTGCAATAGCTTTTAGGAGCATGACACACATATTAAAATAGGTGTAAAAAGGAAGAATCCATGGGTTGATGCCTCCTGAATTTTAATATGAAACTGGGAGCTGTGCACCTGTGTGGCTTTTGACACTTCTGGCTAGAGCTGGTGGAAGAAGTGTCTCACTGCACAGAGTTCATGGCAGTATTGTGGCTTGGATTCAGCTGCACTTCTGGTTGTTTTTTCAGCCTTTATCACAAATTCCCTGATGAACCCTATATGGATGGTGAAAACTCGAATGCAGCTGGAAAGGAGGTGAGTAACTGCTGGGGGGCTACAGGAGCCACTGAACCTTTGTGGTTTTCTTCAGGCTCTTTGTACTTCGATAGATCTTGCCCAGCTTTTCTCTGACTCTCAGTTCTATCTTTCAAGCCATGCTTCTGTGTGGTCAGACTAAAGGTTCTGTGTCTTACTTCAGTTTGAGGCACAGAAACTATTGAGAAGGATGTGGGAGTTGCCTTGAGTTCTGGGTTAGGCTCAGCCTCTGGTTTCACTGTAAATCTGTAGTTCAGCATAGCATTATTTTTCTCTGCTGCTTACAGAGTCCTCTGTAGTTCTGGGGTTGATGATGATGATAGATATATTGAGGACTGAAGGCTTTGATACAGCAGTGATAGAAGCTGTGGAAGTGACAGGAGCTCATGTGGGAGGCTGAGCATGAGGGTGCAGTGTGTCCCTTTGGGCAGCATCACCTGTACTGATCCCAGCTCAGACAGGTGAGTGTTCCTGCAGCCAGCCAAGGTCACTGATCCCAGCTCAGACAGGTGAGTGTTCCTGCAGCCAGCCAAGCTCACTGATCCCAGCTCTGACAGGTGAGTGTTCCTGCAGCCAGCCAGGCTCACTGATCCCAGCTCAGACAGGTGAGTGTTCCTGCAGCCAGCCAAGCTCACTGATCCCAGCTCAGGTGAGTGTTCCTGCAGCCAGCCAAGCTCACTGATCCCAGCTCAGGTGAGTGTTCCTGCAGCCAGCCAAGCTCACTGATCCCAGCTCAGACAGGTGAGTGTTACCAGGTGAGTGTTCCTGCAGCCAGCCAAGGTCACTGATCCCAGCTCAGGTGAGTGTTCCTGCAGCCAGCCAGGCTCACTGATCCCAGCTCAGACAGGTGAGTGTTCCTGCAGCCAGCCAAGGTCACTGATCCCAGCTCAGACAGGTAGCTGTAACAGAAAGGGTGCTGGCTTCAAATTAGGGTGAAGACACAGCAGTTCATTTCATAAAACCTCCCACAGACAGTAAGAATCTGCTGCAGTGGTTTAATGTTCTTTTGCCTCCTTCACCATTGTGTTACTGTTAACCACACATCCAGAAGACAGAGGGAATTCGACAGCAATTTCTTTTAGTTGAATGCTTCACAGTCACTGGTATATCAAGGCAATAAGGGACTCTGCTAATATAACATGACTGCTTAGAATGGAAATTCCTTCCTGCAAGGACATGCTAGGTCAGATTAAAAGGATCTTATAAGTCACAACTTTATAAATAATTTATAAGACTTAATTCCAGCACTTTGCAGGGTGGCACCTTTGAACTGAGTGCTGCCTCTTAAAATGAAGGATCATTTCTCATGCAGCAGACTTCTGTCTCTTGGCCTGCTGAAGATGGCTTTAAATGGAATCAGCAGTTTGACACAGAGCCGTGTCTCTTCAGTGCTTATTGTCTTTTAAGGCCTTGGTGTGAACTGTGACAGACTAGATTGAACTTCAGCTGAAGGAATGGTGAGTGTGTATCAGTGAAGTAGCAAAGCTAAGTGTGCACTTTTAGCATCATGGTCCTGCCCTGTGCAGCTTTCCTAGGAGAATTTTAGAGTAAAACTTAGAGAAGCATTTTCATAGTTATGAAAAGTATCGAAAGCCATAAGGTTTGGGTTTTTTTAATATTAATTGTTTTTCTTTGCTCATGATATGCTCTGTTCTGTTTGTTTTGTAGAGTGAGGGGCTCCAAACCAATGAATGCTTTGCAGTGTGCTAGATACGTTTACCAGACAGAAGGTATCCGTGGTTTCTATAGGGGCCTGACTGCCTCCTATGCAGGCATTTCTGAGACCATTATCTGCTTTGCTATTTATGAAAGTTTAAAAAAGCACTTAAAGGAAGTCCAACTGCCCCCTTCTTCTAATGGGACTGAAAGGACCTCAACAAGCTTCTTTGGACTGATGGTTGCTGCTGCTGTTTCCAAGGGCTGTGCCTCCTGTATTGCTTATCCTCATGGTATGTTAACGCTTCTATTTATGAGTGCAGTACAACAGCTGTTGCCTGGAATCCAAGACAAATGATGGGCTGTAAAACTCTTAGTTGTTCCAAGGGCCAAGTGCACATTACTTTGGCTTCTGCACTGGCATTTTCAGTTCTGGTCCCACTACTCCTAGTTAGACATATGGTTGGTGACTGGGACTTGCTAGTTTAAAAACAACTCAAAAAAACCCAAAAAAATGATTGCCTAATGTTTCTGTTCTCACTAGTAGCCTCAGCTGGGTAAGTACCCACAGCCTCTGGGATTTTGTGATCAGGCTGTGGGAAGCACTTGGGGACTGAATGGTGTTAGTCTGTTTGGATAGATGTGAATGGTGTGGTTGTGTAGAAGCAGCAATATTATGTGAGCATTTATTGATTATGTAAAGCATTTAGATCTGTATGAGCTTCAATGAGAAAATCATTTATTTATTCCACATGAAAGAGAGCTCCTCTTTAACTCTTCCTCTTGCCTGAAGGGCAGTGTGTCCAGGCTTCCTGGCTGCAGAAGGTTTGTGTGTCCCTGGGGTTTGCACACAGGAACTTTCCTGTGCTGGCACGTTTCTCCTTGGTAACTCTGGGCTCTGGTTCCCTGTTGTGCAGAGGTCATCCGGACACGGCTGCGAGAGGAAGGCACCAAGTACAAGACTTTCATCCAGACAGCTCGGCTGGTGGCACGGGAAGAGGGCTACCTGGCCTTCTACAGAGGACTCTTTGCCCAGCTCATCAGGCAGATACCAAACACAGCCATTGTCTTGTCCACCTACGAGTTAATTGTGTATCTCTTGGAAGACCACACAAAGTAGCGGAGCCAGGATTCCTGTTACAGACTGAAGACCAATTCCTTCATTGAACAAATAGTCCTTTAAGAGACTGGTGCAGGTGGCAGTGCTGGTGGAAACACTACAAGTCTGTGACCACCTGTGGATGTTTCCTTTTGGACTCATGCTTTCTAAAAGGTCTCAAGTCACTAATGTTAATAGTTAATTATGATTTTTTTTTTAACTTGATGTTAATTAAACTGCTACTAAATTAAATTACACTATTTAATTTAATTATATGTTTGTCCTTTTCCTTAAGCACAGCCATATGTGGTCAAGGAATGTACCTCATACTATCAAGTGATCTCTTGGACTGATGTTCATTAAAACTGTATTTAAACAGGAGAACTGGCTTGGACATTTGAAACTGTCTCCTTGCAACTGGGTCATTCTGCTTTTGAGCACTGTAATAGTCTAAGCACCAAAATAAGTTTGAGAGTGGCCTGGATGCACCTGTTTTTTAGGGAGCATCGTTCCTGCTGTGTGAACACCCTGGAGTGTTCAATGTAGGACAGACTTGTTTCTGTGTTTTGATGGTATGAACTGTGCACACCAGCATCTCTTGCACTGGCAGTATGATGGTGGGAGGCTTTTAGTAAGAATGTCATTACAGTTCTGTGTCCCCTGTGCATTTGGGATAGATAGTTATGGTGCTGGGTATGAACAGATCTGTTGTGGCTTTTAGACCTTGCTTTGGTGCAGGCCTGAGAGTGTAAGGACAGTCAGTGGCTGTGGCTGCCCTGCAGAAGGAAAGATTTTCAACAGTTCTCATGATCCAATTCTTACTTTTCACTTATAAATCAAATATCCTGCATACTTGAGATTAGTTCTTTCAAAAACATTAGAATATGCTTTCATTTCAGTAGTCTTCACACCACTTGTAATAAAGTGTGGCATATGAATTACAGCTGATAGTGCAGGATGATGTGTTTTACAACTCAGATGTAGGCTGGTGTTTTGCTGTGGCCCTGCTCTGCCCTTCTGTTCATTGGTGGTGTTTGCTTTGGCAGCTGAGACAAGCACTGCAGCATCCGAGCCCAGCTTTGGCCTTCCCTGCTGGTGACGGCAGCGAGCTGCTCGTGCTCTGAGCAGGGGTGTGTGCACAGCTCTGCCTGCAGAGATGCTGTGTGGGCCTGGGAGGAGCAGCAGAGACAGCCTGGGAGTCACTGGGGCTGCCTTTGATCAGGTGGAGTTCTCAGGCTGGGATTTTGTTGCAGAAATAGGATGAGCTGATAACTGGATTCAAACCTTGCCATTTGTTGCCAGTAGACCCCAGCTGATGACTGGTGCTTGAGGTCATGTTTGACATCAGTGTGATGTAGGAGCTTAGTGTGAAGAGTAGAGTGTGTGTGTACCTCATTATGAGGCAAAACTGCAAAAAATATCTGATTTCTATTATGTCTTCCTGGAAATAACTTATCACATTCCCCCTAAGCTAAAATAGGAAAAAGTTGAGTAAAAATTGACATGGCTTTTTTTTTATGGAGATGATGAGCAGCTAAAGCTTCAGGCTCTTTATAGGAGGCAAAACTGTCAGTGTTTCTATTTTTGAGAACTAGGACACTTGTGCTGCTACTCTGAAACATTTTTCTGAGATTTGCTTTCCTAAATTAACATTTCTCTGTACTTCCAGTGCACTAGCTCACTTCTAAAATGTTAGTGAAATGTGTAGACTGCTGATGTCTTTTGAGAATGAGGAGGAGGGAACTCCAACCCTTTTGAGAAGTCTGGGACTTGGTAAGAGAGAAAGCAAGAGAAAATGAAAAAAAATTTGTTTTGCCTAAATCTGATGGGAAATCAAGAATTCTGTAGGATTTTTGCTTTTTTCCTTTAAGCTTTGCTACCAATCCTGACAGAATTAGTCTTATTTTGATAAGGGGTTAATAAGCTATATTGAGAGATAATAGTTTCTGAATTAGTATCATTAAATCCTTTTTCCTTCCTCTCTCTAATAGAATTTTAAAATTCACTAACCCTTGATTCCTTAAACCCTGTAAAGAGTTACCATTTTTAGGTGATGCTCTGTGAGCAATCCCATTGATGTCACTGAGTATGGAATAAGCCTATTACCAGAGGGAAGAATTTGAAGTAGCATTTTCCAAAACGATACCTGAATTTAAAAATAACCAACAACCTTTCTCTGCTTGTCAAAGTCAGTCTAAAGGAATTTTTCACTGTTCTTTCCTCCAGCTTCTACAGAAAGTCATTTTCATGGAAGGTAGGTAAAGGCTTCATTACTAAACCCTTTGTAGCTTCACTATCAGTAAGGTGATGAAACTGCTGCCATCTGAAGTGACCACAGAGATTCCATGAATTTTACCAGGACTGTGCCTGTTTCCAGTCATAAATTAACAGTTACATGGAAATTACACACATACTGTTGCTGCAATGTTATGAGCTACCCGTGTTGGTTAATTTCGTTTTGGAATGATTTCCCAAGTCTTTACACTGTAAGACTGACTGCCTCCCTTTAGATACCTGTGGTTGCCTTGACAGCCCTCAAAATATCTGTGTTTGCTGGAAATTGTGTTCCAAGCTTGTACTGAGATTGTGCCCTTTGCAGAAATTCCTCATTAGCTCCTTTAAGGAGGAAACTACATTTTAAACAATGCACTTCTGGTTGGACTGATAGTACAGATAGAGCTGATAGGAAGGGAGGGACTTGTGTAGGAAAAACAGCCCAGCTCTGCAGCACGAGTCCAGGAGGTCCTGGTGTGCCAAATGACTGGGTGGGTTGTTCCTTCTTTCCCTATCATTTGGTCTCATAGTACAATCCCTAAGTAATTGCACTAAACAATGGAAGAGAGATGGAAAAATTATGTGCCTTTTAAATTTGTTAAGATGAAATATTCACTGTTACTCTGCAGAATTAATTTTCATGGTTAAATCTGCACAGATGGAAATGGAACAGTGAAGAGCCCAACCATAGTTAAGCTTAAAGGTACTGGTAACTCCCAGCACAAAATTTATCTATGAAGAGCTTTTCCATTTATGCCTTTTAAAAAACATGATGCTGACATAACCTGGAACTCCTGAATTTTAAGCAACTTTATTGTGCTGAGAAGTTTTTTCTTTTGTTTTAATCACAAAACCAGCTACACACTTTGAGGCTGGGTCAGTCTCATATTTTGCAGAGATCTCAACCTCTTCCTTTCACGTAAAAGCACAGCACGATGGTCAAACCAGCAGTTGATTCCAGTTCTGTGAGAGCAGCAGATGCCAGCTGTGTGTGCTGAGGGATCACAGAATAAATAAATACTTTCTTTTCTGGGGGACAGCTCCTGCCGAGTGCCAGTTCCCTGCAGCGCCCGCTCGTTTCCAGCGTGTTCGTGCTGCTGGGGCTGGATCTGCTGCGGCCTTTGGAGCCTTTTCCCGTTCCGAGCTGGGGCTGAGGGGGCCGAGGGCCGCAGCCGGGGCTGCAGCGTCCCCTGAGGGCAGAGGGGCAGACACGGAGCTCTGCTGGCTCTGGGAGCGGCAGGCCCGAGGGAAGGCCATGCATTTGTGTCAGGGGACGGGTGTCAGGTTCTGCTGGCACTGCCCAGGCTCCCCAGGGAACGGGCACGGCCCCGAGGCTGCCGCAGCTCCAGGAGCGTCTGGGCAGCGCTGCCAGGGATGCCCAGGCCGGGATTTTGGGGTGTCTGTGCAGGGCCAGGGGTTGGGTTGTCCCTTCCAGCTCAGGATATCCTGTGCAGTGCCGGCCTGCGGCGGCCGCCCGTCACCGGGGCCCGTCCCTGTTGTCACCCAGAAAGCGCCGCGTCCGATCCCAGG